GGGAGGGCCAGCTGTGGTGGTATATGAGGGAGCGGAGGCAGGGGGGGGGATCAGCGGCTGGACAAGATTCATGAGAGTGGAGAGTAGGGATGAGGGATCCTTAGAGGAGGAAGGAGAAGGGGAATGAGAAGGAGAAAAAGGCAGAGAGGATAATGGGGTAGGGGTCACGGGACAGGTCACTTTCGAAAGGCTAGCAAGGAAGGAGGAAAGGTCTGGGTCCGGGGGTATGGGAGAAGGGGGGTCTGTGGAGGAACAGGGGTCCGGAGGAATGGGGGCAGTGGGATGGACAAGGGTCGAGGGAGCAGAGTGTGAAGCAGTCGAGGGGGGGTAAGGGAGCGGGTGTCACTGGTGATGGGGTACTCGAGGTGGAGAGGGAATGAGAGGAGGAGGAGGAAACGTCGGTGGATGAGGCGGGAGCGGTCAGGACGGGATCTTGGCGAGGTTTTGGAGTAGAAGCAGGCACTGGGAGAGGTGGCGGAGGACATGGAGGCGGGGGAACATCAACAGACGTAACAGGAGAAGGGTTGATGGAGGGGGCTGGGTCAAAGGGAGGTTGGTGCATGGGAGTGGGTGGGAACGAATGAAGTGGCACTGGATAGTAGTAAGCACCGTCTGCACCGAGTACGGGGCACAGGGGGGTGGGAGCTGAAGGCACACCCACGGGGGGTGGGGTCTGTGCTGTGACAGGGGAAGCAGGGCGGGAATTTACTGTTGCGCTCTGGGCGCCATCATAGGGCGGTGGCCACGGGACAATGGAAACAACATCATCATTGTTAACACTCCTATGGTATACGTACACAGTTTGCCCTTCAAAATCTAACTCTTCCTCGACCCACCCTTCCCGTTTCAGACGTCTAGCTACCCGATACCAAGCCTCTGCAACTTTTGTGAGCCCATTATCCAACAACAACCCTTCCTTGTCTATGAGTAACTTCCTCCAAAACTCAGGTTGCAATCTCCCACTGGGCAGCATCTGGAAGCCACACACCTTAGCAATCTTTCTAAGTTTCAACATTGCATCTTCCCCTGCCCTTTCTTTCACAATATCACAAGCCAACAAGCCCTTAGCAGGTCTAACATGTTCCTGCCCCATCTTGAATAATTGGAGTGAGCCACGTGTTAGAGACAGATATACAGAGGAGATACAGGGGAGGAGGAAGAGGAATGTCTACAGTGCTCGACTGCCACGAGGACTTGGGTCCCGTGCGTCTTCCCAAAACGTAGACTAGTCACGGGGGTCCGCCCACCGGGGGTGGCGGTCACGGACCGGAGCGAGCGAGCGTGGGTGACTAACACAGCTCTGGGCAACAGACACAGGAGAGATAAAGGACAAAAGAGAAGATGAACGTGGCTACGCTAACGAGAAGACATTTGCAAAAGTCACAAACATAGAGATGAGCGTAAACCCCGGAATCCAGAACCAGCCACACTATACACACACACACACCCCAAGGGTACCCACACTGTAACAACAATTGAACAAAAACCACAGAATGACAGAGAGTAAAATGGCCATGTACATGTTAACACCACTGGCACCAGATATTTAAAATGTGGCAATCCCCAGCCCTCCCCCACCAGGCTGGTCCCGTTATAACACAAGTACCAATGAAACACTGCAATAATCAAACAAAATCCCAGCCCCACCGGCTGTAATGCGTTCCCTGCCCGCTAGGCAGTCAAGCTAACATAAAATCCCAGCCCCACCGGCTGTAATGCGTTCCCTGCCCGCTAGGCAGTCAAGCTAACATAAAATCCGGCATGCGTTCCTGCCCGCTAGGCAGTCAAGCTAACATCTTTTAAAAAGGGGAAAACACACACACCGGCCGTCACACACATTTAAACGAATACAGGAGGCGATAGACAATCGACAGGTTCACTTTGCACACCGGATGAGCTAGTACCTGTCTCTAGTAGCTGGAAGCCGAGTGGAAGACCGACACAAAACAGGAGAATAACAACGGCATAAAATCCCACCGGCCCTCCGGTGGCCCCACGTTGGGCGCCAATTGAAATGGAAAAGGTATTGATTATTTCTTTGTGTATCTGCCCCTGGCCAAATCAATGAAACAATGCGTGCACGCTCCCTGAAGTAATTCACACCAGACACAGGTTCCAGGTTTTCGAATAACTTGAGGAATGTTTATTCAGAGGGGACGGCAGGTCCCTTTTAAAGCGAAATTACATCATAAGCATTGTCAGAGATAACATGGAATAATACATCAATTATTGGTTAGGTGTTAAGTGGTCATTCTAATGCTCTGCCTACTGGGGGTGATGTCACCAGGGCCATGAGGGTCTCCCACGGTTTTCCGGCGCCATCTTGCTGCACGAGGTAGTTAGTCGGTGTTAAAGGGAGGGGGAGGAAAGGAGGGGTTAGAAGCTTCTAGCAGCCATCTTGATTAAAACATGTGTGCATAGCTTATATTGTATATAGTGAAATGAGAAAATAGACATTTTCATTAACTAGGAAATATGTGCAGACCTTATTTCCACAACACAAAGTATGTGGTAAAAAATAATTTTGGGCATTTTTTACATACGGATTACACTTTTGCTGGGCATTTTGTACATTTCATATGTGCCACTAAGTTCAAACCCCCCAAATTATGCTCCGCTAAGTCTTCTGAGTAAAACAATATGCCCAATGTATGACCTAGACACTATTTTGTGCTGTATTTTACACTGCTGTAAAAAAAAAGGTGACAAGTTAAGGTTTTTTGCCTTTTTGACACACAAAGTGAGTTTGCACAGTATATTTTGCAAATCGTATGTGTGCTACCACTGTATAATACTTCATATGTTGCTCAGCTATATCGGCTGAGTACAGCAATACCCCCGTATGTACCTTTGCCTGGTATATGTGGACATCGGAGGGGCACATTTGGGACACAGCCATTCCAGCTCTTTTCAAACTTTAAATTTTTACACTGTGCCCATTTTAGAGTATTTTACCAGGCTATATAATCCAAATACCCCATCAAGCCATACCATTTCTTAAAGAAGACATCCCAGGGTATTTCAAAAGGCCTATTTTGAACCTTAGCGTGGGATCATTTTTCCGCTAGCTTGTACCAAGTTTAGTGGTAATAAGCATTTTTTCTGCCTTTTTGACACACAAAGTGAGTTTGCGCAGTATATTTTGCAAAGCTTATGTGTACTACGACTGTATACTACTTCATATGTTGCTCAGCTATGTCGGCTGAGTACAGCAATACCCCCGTATGTACCTTTGCCAGGTATATGTGGACATTGAAGGGGCACATTTGAGACACAGCCATTCCAGTTTTTTTCAAACTTTGAATTTTTACGCTGTGTCCATGTCCCATTTTAGAGTATTTTACAAGGCTATATAATCCAATTACCCCATAAAGGCATACCATTTCTTAAAGAAGACATCCCAGCAGAGGCTGCTCTCTAATTAGGTGGTTTAGGCGGCCGCCTAAGGTCTCGCGCTGGCTGGATCTGACACCAGGAGGGGGCCCGGCAGCTTGCCCAGTATGCTGCCGGGTGCGAGGCCCCTCCTGGCTGCCCGGCCACCATCGCAGACACAGGTCTGCAGCTCCGCAGTGTGCAGAGCTGCAGACCATATGTCTCGCGAGAATTGGCCAATCAGAGCGTTGCCACGGGTTACCACGGCAACGCTCTGACATCTCGCGAGATTACACGGTCTGCAGCTCTGTGGAGCTGCAGACCGGAAGCAATGGCCACCGGACCACCAGGGAAGAAAAAGTAAGCTCTCTCTACCCCCCCTTTTCACCCTCAGCCTCACCACCCCACCACCCTCAGCCTCACTACCCCCTTCAGCCTCACCACCCCCACCACCCTCAGCCTCACTACCCCCTTCAGCCTCACCACCCCCTTCACCCTCAGCCTCACCACCCTCAGCCTCACCCCTTCAGCCTCACCCCCTTCACCCTCAGCCTCACCACCCCCTTCACCCTCAGCCTCACCACCCCACCACCCTCAGCATCACCCCCATCCCCACCACCCTCAGCATCACCCCACCTCACCATCAACCCCTCCCTCACCATCAACCCCTCCCTCACCATCAACCCCCCTCCCTCACCATCACGCCCCCTCCTTCTCAACATCACATAAAAAATGTTTATTTTGAAGTCCTGTGGGTGTGCTCTTCCCTTTAAATAAACACTCAGACGGTCACTAGAGGTGCTTCCTGTGTCAGTGCGGATTGGCTGAGATCATCAAGCTTGACGATCTCAGCCGTAGAGGCAGGGCCAGTCGAGGGGAGACCAGCACGACGTGGGGGGGGGAAAAAGGTGAGTAAAAACATACATACACACACACATACCATGACAGACACACACCATGACACAGACAGACCGTGACACAGACACACACACCGTGACACAGACAGAAACAGACACACCATGACAGACAGACACACCATGACACAGACAGACACACACACACACACACCATGACACACACACCTTAAAAAAGACACACACACCATAACACAGACAGACCGTGACACAGACACACACACCATGACAACACAGACACACACACACCACGACACAGAGACCGTGACACAGACAGACACACATTACATGACACAGACAGACACACACACACCATAACAAACAAACACACACCATGACACAGACAGACCGAGACACAGACACACATTACATGACACACACACACCATGACACAGACACACAATGCATGACACAGACAGACCGTGACACAGACAGACACACATTACATGACACACACAATGACACAAACACACATTGCATGACACAGACAGACGCACACACCATGACACAGACAGACACACACAATGACACAGACACACATTGCATGACACAGACACACACACACACCATGACACAGACAGATACACACAATGACACAGACAGACACACACAATGACACAGACACACACACACCATGACACAGACAGACACACACACACCATGACACAGACACACACAATTGCTACCTGTGTGCTGGCATGGGGTAGGTGGCTCTTCTTGCGGCCGCAGAGGGAGCTCTTTAGGCGGCCGCAGGGGAAGCTGGCTGTTCTTGCGGCCGCAGGGGGAGCTGGCTCTTCTGTCTCTGCTCCCCCTCCCCAGTGCACTACAATGAGACCGGGGCTGGAATATGACGCCAGCTCCCCTGCGGCCGCAAGAACAGCCAGCTTCCCCTGCGGCCGCCTAAAGAGCTCCCTCTGCGGCCACAGGTGAGCCAGTTGGCAGCTGCCTGCCCGGCCCCACGTGCCGACGGCCCACCGGAAAATTTCCCGGTATCCCGGTGGGCCAGTCCGGCCCTGGCGACCACCTGGCGAAGTGGTGAGAGTGAACTCTAGCCCATAGCTCCAGTGCTAGAGTTCACCCTCGTGAGAGCCGGAGCGTTGCCCCGGGTCCTCTCTTCCTCCCCTGCCGGCTGCCCGCACGGTGCCTGCGGAACGAGGAGGGAGATCGGCCGGCAGGGGAAAGCCTCGTGGGGGGGGGGAATTGCCCCGTTGCCCCCCCATCTACCAGTGATATATACTGCCCCTATGTGTGTCTCTTTATCTCCAGCCCCTCTGCGTGCCTTTTTGTCTCCCCCAGTCACTCTGTATGTTTCTTTCTCCCCCTCACTGCTCCTCTGTGTCAATGGCTCCCCTCTCCTTCCCAGTCTCTCTCTTCCCCCTCTGCCTCTTTCTCCCCCTTCCCTTGTGTGTCTCTCTTATTTCTTCCTCTTTGTCTCTCTCTTCCCCCCTGTCTCTTTCTCCCCCCTTTCCCTGTGTCTCTCCCTCTTCCCCATCTCTCTTCCTCCTCCCTTTCCGTGTGTCTCTCCCTCCTCCACATCTGTCTTCCTCCCCCCTTTCCGTGTCTCTCCCTCCAGCCCATCTCTCTTCCTCCCCCCTTTCCCTGTGTCTCTCCCTCCTCCCCATCTCTCTTCCTCCCCCCTTTCCCTGTGTCTCTCCCTCCTCCCGATTTCTCTTCCTCCCCCCTTTCCCTGTGTCTCTCCCTCCACCATCTCTCTATTCCCCTGTCTGTTTTATTCCCCCCCATTTACTTAGAGGAGTCGGGGGCCGGCTGCGTTCCAGGTTGGTCCCTCGCGGTTCCTGTGCTGGGGATTGTGGGAACCGCGAGGGAGCCTGGTAGACATGCTCCTCCCCCCTCAGCCATCAGCAACAGCAGTGCCGCCAGACCGGCGAAGCTGCCACCCGGCCCGGCGGCTCCAGCCTGGAACACGGCCGCTCCCCTCTGAGTGTGCCACCAGACCGACCACCGGTATCCGGTGGGCCAGTCCGGCCCTGGTGCTAATGTAACTCAAATTACTGAAATACTTAATGCTGGCCATGACAGAAAATGCATAGCCACAGACAGGTCAGAGTGCTCATGATGGCACCTCTCTACTGCCAAAAGCACCTTCAATGGGGATGTCAGCATCAGAACTGGACCATGGAGCAATGGAAGAAGGTTGCCTGGTCTGATGAATCCCGTTTTATTTTAGATGAGGTGGATGGCCAGGTGTGTTGTTTATTTTATTGTCTATCAGTTTTTTTATTTGAGGCATAGAAGGTACGTTACAGAAATGAGACATAACAAACGTATACACGAGATAAGTACGGCATAACAAACGTTAACATGAGATTTTATGTAACAGATATCTGTTAGAGTTTGTTATGTTTTAATTAGTATTTATATTGATTATTTATTATTTTACTTGGGATTTCTTATTATCCTGATTTTTTTGGTGCTGTTTTGTGACATCTGATATATTCTATTTCTTTTTATGGTTAATATGGACTTATTACAGTCCACAATGAATGCGGCAGCGAGGCTCAACTTCCTGTCCGCCCGCACCTCTCATGCCTCACCCTTCTGTCAGTCCCTACATTGGCTTTCTATAAAATATAGAGCTTAATTTAAAATTCTGGTTCTTGCTTTCAAATCGCTACATAATGCTGCTCCCATCTATCTATCTATCCTCCCTTATACACAAGTATGTCCCGTCTAGGCCCTTACGTCTATCTTCTGTCCGTACTCCCACCTCTGATGCTCGCCTTCAAGATTTCTTGAGGGCTGCTCTGTTCCTGTGGAACTCGCTTCCCTCCTCTGTTAGATGCTCACCCAGTCTCCACTCCTTCAAAAAATCCTTAAAAATCCTCTTCAAAAAAGCGTATCAATTAAACTGTTAATAGCTCCTGACTAATTCCTCTTCTGCAACTGTCATTAGTCTAATACTATCCTTACCTTTTTGTGTCATTTTACCCCACTCCCTCTAGCATGTAAGCTCATTGAGCATGGCCCTCAACCCCTCTGTTCCTGTGTGTCCAACTTGTCTGGTTACAACTACATGTCTGTTCGTCCACCCATTGTAAAGTGCTGCAGAATTTGATTGCACTATATAAATAACATAATAGTAATAATAATAATTACGCTCTTTTAATGAGAGGTGGAACGCAAGTCGTCGAATGGAACGCAAGTGATCACGTCCGTCTGCCTGAATATCATCTCAAAGAGAGGTTTGAGCCACATTTCCGGAAACATCATATGGGCGTACCCGGAAGTATTACAAGGGACAGACTCGGAAGTCGGTTACCGATAGGTTTGGATCTTCTGCGCACCAATACCAGACAAGTTTAAAAAGGGTTCATGAACACCACAGACTTTCATGCCTGCATATTGAAGGAATTTCATCATCTGCCCTGAGGAAGTGCAAAGGATATTGAACGAATCAATCAATATTGGTTTGTGAGTGTGACTTACTACCTAATTATTCACTCACAATTGTTCTTGCACTATGTTTTTCTCTGTTACTATTGTATTGTAGATTATCTTTGGGTATTTTTTCTATATTGCTTTGAGGACTGAGAGGAGTCCTTATCTACAGTACTTACAGTACAAGAGTAATTGTTGTGAATTTTTTAACCTATTGCCCACTGAATGTGTGTTTAATCCACTAATAGGTATGTCTGTATACATTATACTTGGTTACTCCTTCTCGATGGCAGAGTAGCTCACCTCCCAGGCAATAACTTACTGCTGAGGTAAGCTACTGGATGTTCTCCAGCATCGTCCTCGATCTGGCTCAGCACCGCTCCTAATCCAAACATGGAGGCATCTGTGTAAACGAGAAAGCGTCTTTTCGGATTAGGAGCAGCCAGGACAGGGGCATTTGGAACGTCTGCTCACACTCTGGGGTCCAGGCTACCTGTCCAGGCAAGTTTCTTTGGGTCAAGTCCGTGAGGGGCTTGGCTAGGTCGCTGTAATTGGGGACAACCTTTCTGTAATTCCCAGCGGTCCCTAGGAAAGCCATCACCTGGGTCTTAGTGTGGGGACAGGGATAACTAGCTACTGCCTCAACTTTGGCTGGCTCGGGCTTTTGCTTCCCACACCCCACCCGGTGTCTCACGTTCTGTACTTCTGCCATCCATAGGTGGCACTTGCTGGGTTTTAGGGTTAATCCTGCCTCCCTAATCCTGTTTAGTACAGCTCCTACATGTCCCAGATGCTCTTCCTAAGTGTCGCTGTATATGCCCAGGTATGCACAGGCATAGTCCTGGAGTCCCTCCAACAGCTGATCCACCATCCTTTGGAAAGTGGCTGTGGCATTCTTCATTCCAAATGGCATTACCTTAAACTGATAAAGACCAAATGGGCAACGAATGCTGACTTAGGAACAACATTGCTGGAGCTTGGCCTTGTGCCAATCAACCCCACTTTCCCAATCGTTGGCAGGAATCACAGATCTGGCAATACTGGCTCAGATCCTTCGAGATGCCTGGCCAGAAAAAGCTTGGGGGAGCCGATGCTCAGTACAGCCCTTTTTCAAATGCCCTGCCAGGGGTATATCATGAGGTATCTTCAGCAGCTCATTCCGATATTTCCAGGGTGCCACCAATTGCTTGGTGGTAGTAGGAGCTGTCCACGACTTTCCTTTTTCTGCTATGCGGTACAGTAAGCCCCCCTCCCAGATAAACATTCCCCCCGTCCTTCCCCACCTGGCCAGTGGCGGCCCTATCCCTATACGCTTGGAGGTTAGGGTCAGAGGCTACCTCGCTCCCAAACTCAGCAGGGGTATCCCAGGGAAAGGGGACCGGGGCAAAGGGAAGATCACTGGGCACCAGGGTCGAGGAGCTAGCACGGGGAGTCTTCCTGCAGGGACGCCTACAGAGAATGGGTCTATGGGGACGGGTACAGGGAGCCTGCCTACCGGGGAGGCTGCGGGGATTTTGGGTAGTGGAAGGGGTACGTGTTCCTACCTGAGCCTCAGAGTGTGAGCCGTGCAGGGTGGTATGAGCCTGCCACCTGGTCATCATGGGGTAGGTCTCCTCCGGGGTCTGGGGATGCACATAGGTGGAGGTGAGGTGTCCCAGGTCATTGCCGAGTAGTACTTCTGCAGGTAGTCCATCCATGAGCCCAACCTCCACCCAGTCAAGGTGGATTTGGGCCATGGGCAGGTGATAAGCGTTCCCACCTGCTACCCGGACAGCGACTTTTCCTCTGTTCTTCTCTGCTTCTGCGACGAGCTGACTTTGTACCAGAGTTAGGGTGGCCCCGGAGACCCTGAACGGTGCGCTGTTCAGCCGGACTGGCTGTCTGTGATGAGCCCTGTTGTCATTGGCAGCTTGGAGGGGGTCCGCTTCGTGCAGGATTAAAAAGCTGTGTGTTCCAAAAAAGGATAGTCAGTGTTGTAACCTCCAGAGCTGTGTTTTGTCCAGTTACTGTGGGGAAACGGGTCTATTTGTATTTTATATGGTTCCTGATCGGCTGAAGGAAGGGAATCAGCGGAGGTAACCAGGTGGTCCGCTACACTGGCCATGCTGATCGTGGATGAATGGCACAACAATGGGCCTCAGGATCTCATGGTATCTCACAGTATCTCTGTGCATTCAAAATGCCATCAATGAAATGCACCTGTGTTCGGTGTCCATAATGTACGCCTGCCCATACCATAACCCCACTGCCACCATGGGCCACTCGATCCACAACGTTGACATCAACAAACTGCTCACCCACACGATGCCATACACCTGTACAGTGAAAACTGGGATACACCTCTCCAAAGTGCCAGACACCATTGAATGTGAGCATTTACCCACTCAAGTTGGTTACGACAACGAACTGCAGTCAGGTCAAGACCCTGATGAGAACAACGAGCATGCAGATGAGCTTCCCTGAGACAGTTTGTGCAGAAATTCTTTGGTTATGCAAACGATTGTTGCAGCAGCTGTCTGGGTGGCTGGTCTTAAACTATCTTGCAGGTGAAGAAGCTGGATGTGGAGGTCCTGGGCTGGTGTGGTTACACGTGGTCTGCAGTTGTGAGGCCAGTTGGATGCACTGCCAAATTCTCTGAAATGCCTTTGGAGACGGCTTATGATAGAGAAAGGAACATTCAATTCATGGGCAACAGCTCTGGTGGACATTCCTGCAGTCAGCATGCAAATTGCACGCTCCCTCAAAACTTGCAACATTTGTGGCATTGTGCTGTGCTATAAAACTGCACATTTTAGAGTGGCCTTTTATTGTGGCCAGCCTAAGGCACACCTTTGCAATACTTATGCTGTCTAATCAGCACCTGTGAGGTGGATGGATTATCTCTGCAAAGGAGAAGTGCTCACTAACACAGATTTAGACAGATTTGTGAACAACATTTGAGAGAAATAGGCCCTTTGTGTACATAAAAAAGCCTTAGATCTTTGAGTTCAGCTCATGAAAAATGGGGACAAAAACAAAAGTGTTGCATTTATAATTTTGTTCAGTGTATATTGCTTTCTATCAGAAATATTCTACAGGTAAGTCCATTATAATTGTTAGGCCCAGGCCCAATAGGCTCTTAGTCAAACTATGATTACATGTGTGACATATAGCAAACCTAATGTTGATCCAAATAGGTACTATCTCTCTTGTGTGATTGCATTGTTACATATCTGTAATCAAGGCCTTTGTAAAGCAGTAAATTAAAAAGACAATGCACAATGAGTGAGATAATCCCAACACACATTGAGTGGAGCGTGAAATAAATGGAAAAAACTGAACATCTACTTGGCTCTGGGCCTGTTTCAGCACAAGGACCTGGATCTGCCACTCCAATAGCTCCTGTGTTAAAGGAACACTATAGGGTCAATTTGTATATTTGCAGAGAGAGGGAATAAGAGAGTACACTCAAACAAGGACTACATTTTTAAGACTAAGGTAGAGTCTGTGGCCACAGCTATCTGGGTAGTAAATCAGGCACTGACTGCATCTAAAATTGTTCAATGATGATACATAAACATTTTGTTTATTTTATATTTTAAAATACAGATTACAACACTGCATCTGATTTCAAATGATTATGTTATACTGATATACTTTTTCATGATATATTTACAGTAATGATCATTAGTACATGTTCAACAAAGCTTCTTTTATTACTGTAACAGTTCTGTAAGGCATAGCACGTAAAACCAGAAGCCCCAAAAATAATAAAATACCCGTAGTAGTCTAACTACCATAACAACTGCAGAGTTGTGCCTGGAGTCCCTTGTTGCTAACTTTTTGTAAGCTATTCGGTTATACTATAATTTAGGTAGTGACAGTTCCTCTTTAAACCTGTTCAAAGAGGCAAGGTATGCATAGAGATAAAGTCAACTTCCTTGCTTACTGGTATTTGCAAGAATCCTGAAGGCATTACTAGCAATGCAGCCTCCTAAAGATAGCAGCATAATGTAAAAATAATGTCTCCATCTGAGCTTAATGTCCACATACAAAAAGTAGTTAAATCCTATATTTCTAAAATAAAGGTATTAAAAACTGCTATAGCAGGAATACTAATGCAATGAGGACTGTGAAATGGTAGAGCCCATTCACTCCTCCATGAATGTAGGAATGATCTGACTCATTAAAACATCCAATACTGTTTGAAAGCAAGGAGTGTGCATACATTTTCAGCAGATTTGTTCGTGGCTGGTAATGGGTTCCTTTACAGGCTGGTAATCATAATTAGAGTATAAATGAGGGTGAGTGAGGCTTTATAGACTAGATTTCATTCTGTAAAACACATGAAAAGAAAAACATTAATACTGGATTTGGGTACTGAAGAAGTTAAGGATATTTTTTGTCTGAGAGCATCAGATGGCAAAGTTAGTCAATTCCATTCAAATAGTGCTAAAACTGAGATATCTAAATTATTGTATATTTATAAAAAGGAGCCAGACCAGAGGCATCCTGGTTTGATCTTTATCTGGGGAACAAGGCCAGTGTCTAACTATTTGAAAATTATTTGGTGTCTTACTGCGTGATGGAAGTTACACTCAGCATAACATTTTACTTATCAGTTAAATCACTGGTTCCCAAACTTGTTAGGTTCAAGGCACCCTTAATATTTCAATATTTTTCCAAGGTGCCCCAAGTCAAAACAATTTTCAGGTTGTATGTATGTACAGTGCAATATACTGGGCATTATGTTTGTGAAGAATGTAGTGTGTGTGCGTGAGGGGTGCAGTGTGCGTGTATTTGGGACATTTTGTGAGTGAGGGGTACAGTGTGTGTGGGAAGGCAGGTTGTATGAGGGATACAGTGTGGGGGGGCAGTGTGGAGGTGCAGTGTGTGTATGGAGTGGCAGTGTATGTGTTTGGTGGGTAGTCTGTGTATATGGGGGTAATGTGTGTGTGTGTATGGGGGAGCAGTGTGTGGATGGGGGGCAGTGTGTGTGTATGGGGGGCAGTGTGTGAATGTTTGGGTACCTGTGTATGGGGGGGCAGTGTGTGTGTGTGTATGGACCCCTGTGTATGGGCAGTGTGTGTATGGGGGTAGTTATTGTGTCTCTGTGGGGATAGGAGGGCAAATAAATACATTTAAAAAATTAAACATTTTTATTAAAGATAATTCTTTTCATAACCCCCCTCCCTGCTTACCTTTGCCTGGGAGGGGGGGCAGTGCAAGACAATACCTGGTGGTCCAAGTGGTGAGAGTGAACTCTAGCCTGCAACTCAAGCTAGAGTTCACTCTTGCGAGATTCAGAGCGTTGCCACGGTAACCGTGAAAGGAGAACCCGGTGGAGCTGTAGGTTAGAGCTCCCCAGGTCCTCTCTCTCCCTCCCCTGCCAGCATTACACAGCTAGTGGTCTGGAGAGTGAGATCTCTGATCTCCCCTCCGGTCCTGCAGAGCTGGCAGGGGAGAGGGAGGCACAGTTCCTGGTGCTATGATCATTTGATCATAGCACCGGGTAAAAATCTTGCGACGCCCCTGTGTGCCCATCATGGCGCCGCGGCACACAGTTTGGGAACCGCTGAGTTAAATCATAAACCATATTCCTCAATCCTACTATCAACTCTTTAGCTGTGAGTCTGGTATATTTTAATTTTCCCAGCATGTGTTTTCCAGCAAAGAAAAATTGCACAATTAAATTTCTTGGTACTGTTTTCAGTAACTCTCTCCCCCAAGATGTGTTTGCGCATATTTTAATCTAAGGTGGTAAATCATTCTGTTAATCACACACTATTCAAGTGTGAAGTTGCAGAGATTTTTAATTAAATCCAGCGTTGTATACAGTGTATACTTTTGCTTGATGCAAAAACTATGCACATTAAATTACATTTGAAGGCAAATTTACTTGACGGTTAGTTATGAGGATCTGAAAACCAGATTCAGACTAAATTAGCCAAGATGTGACTGGAGCTAGTTGGGGAAATCGGGACTGATTTTTGCAGTTTGGTTTTCAATTCAGTGATTTCTTGTTTAGTGATTAAACACTCCAGGGATTTCCACTTAACCTGCAATAGAGTTGAGAAGAAAACTGAAAATTTTAGGGCGAATAGCTGGAGATGGTAAGCTTTTCAGTCTGGCTATGATGCGCTAAAAATGTTCTATTCCCTCATCAATTTCCTCCAACTTCCAGTTAGTTGAAAACTACATAATTATCTAGTGAGTAGTTATGTACTGTATGAAATAAATTCTACAATTCTAAAATCTTCAGGCAATTCCATGGTTAAATATTAAAGAGTAGGTAACACCTAACTATGCGTCATTATATACACATGTATACAAGTTCCATAATATGTAAAAGGTATTTGTAAAGGGTATTTTCATAGTTTGCATTTACTACTGCCATAAATACTGCATTTTAGTGACGTACTGCAGAGAAAGGCATTATAAAAACACATTTTATATCAAAGGAGGAGATTTATCAATGCAACACCAGGTGCTATTGTGGGGGCAAAGAGCGAAATAAGGCACAATCACCATAGAAACCAATAAAATAGGTCTCTTTGCATTTTGCACCCACAATAATATATTTTGTGCCTTGATAAATCTACCCCAAAATGATCTAAATAGCTCATTGGTCCTTCAGCTGGAATTCAGCTAGTCAGTGACTGGAAAATCCAGAGCTGAAGGTAAACTAGTGTAATGACACATTCTTCTATTCAGGGATATAATCTTTAATATGTGGCGTAACATGCCTGCCATTCAGGGGTTTAGAAGTAATATGTTCCTAGTTTGCTGCAAAATTGTTAAGCGCCTCAAACTGTTTTTTTGCCTTCTACTGAATCAACAGCAAAAACAGATGTACGAAAGGCTGAATTTTATGGACCCGAGCCTATATAATTATGTAGCTATGCATTGAGGGCTCCTAAGACAAAACAATGTTTTCCGTTGCAGGTAAGCATATTTTGAAAACAGTTTCTTCAAACAGTCAGTAATTGTAGATGAAGAAAATAGACATCCAATGGAGTCTATGCAGACTTTTACTGGAAGGTTTTAACTCTTGTTAGAATTAAATCAGTTGAGGCTTTGCAGGATTTAGGTATAGTTTGGTTTCTCCCATTTTTATTTCCATTAAAATGTATAAGATTTTCAGAAACAAAAAACAAACAAAAAAACACAAACATAAGGGCTGCTTAATTTTTTATTCATTTATATTCACTCTTTTGGCTCACACATCACTGGTGCTTCGAACCACCGAGGAAGATCTGATGGTTTGATGGGTAATTTGTATATCCCATGGAACTGAGGCTGTCGAAGGCATCTTAGCACATGGGGTAATACTGTTGAAGAAAGCTTGGCGAAAGTTCCGTGATGTCAGGTTGTACAGCAGAGGAGTGAGGCATGAGCTAAGATAGTAGAAGCAGTTTGTGATGGGTTGCAAGGTGATATATAAACGATAATAAGTTTCTGTCCATTCATTTTTACTGCGCAGAACAGTCATCAGACGCCGAGCCTGAAAGGGCAACCAGCACACAGCCAATGTTCCCACTATGTATCCTGGAAGAGAATAAAAATGTTAACACATGAGGGACAAATGGCTTAATATAACTTCTCCTTCCAGATGTTGTGTGGTATGTCGCCCAAGATGCTGCAAAAATTGTTCTAGTTGCATATAATAGAAGTGCTAATGCACAATGTATCCCCCTTAGGTATTCTCTGTCATGTTACCCATACTTATTGTAAGTACACAAACTTGTACAACATGGTTTAGTCAATCTCTGCTAACGATACATGCCAGCTCCATATAAGCACATTTTACTGATATAGATTGATAGTGTTTGTATATGAGAACATCACTCAGTGAGAACTATTTGAAACTCTCAGCAGGACTGCGGTCCCTACATGTGTAGTCTGTGGATTATGGCCTGTGGATTTACTCTTTTCTAGGAGGAGAAAGAGTTAAGCCCAACTGGTGTGCGTACTGGGCACTTAAAATTGATATAGGCAACCCGCCCAATCAAATCGCTCTCACCTATATTGCAAGAGATCCAGGATTATGGGTTTATGTCATACTATTCCCAGAACACTAGCAAAACCCAGGAGCTAGGCATAGATCTGCCCAAACAAACTTCAGATTTTCTTCGACAGAAATACTCTTTTGACTGGAGGGGAGACGGTTTTACATATTTAGGTGTGACATTTACAAAAACTGCAGCAGACCTTTTCCCAAAAAATTACCTCAGATTTGGAAGGATTGCAAACAACTCCTCCAAAAGTGGACCCAGTTATTCCTTACGTGGACAGATCATTACTATAAAAACATAATTCTCCCGAGACTTCAGTACCTATTCCGCACACTCCCAATACATCTACCATTTATCACAAATTGTAAAGACCTTATACAGTTTGTCTGGGTGGGAAGTAGAGCCAGGGTGGTCATAAAGATGCTACTATCAAAAATGGGAGGCTTTGCTTTTTCTGATGCATCTATCTTAGCCTCAACCATTCCACATTTCATCACTGAATCACCCTCACAATGGGTTTCCCAAGAGCAGAAACTGATGCTACCTTTTACTATTCCACACTTATTTTGGTTGCCTAAAACGTTCAGACCAGCTACTCATTCTGTACCTGTGAAACTAGCAATACAAATATGGGACATCAACCTAACCAGGCTATACAACACTTACCCCCTTTCTATGGCGACCCCGATCATGGCCCTAGTACACCATCTACCCACCTTCCACACTACACCATGGAGGGATTACTAATTTATATCAGGCATATGCGGATAATAAATTGGAAGACTTTGTAACCCTTTCGTTCAAGCACAAATTACCCCACACATCACAATACTCTAGGGATGTGCATGGGTAAAAAATTTGTTTATGGTCCGGACTTCCGAAATTCGGCAATTTGGTTCGGCACTTCCGAAATTCGGCAATTCGGCACTTCGGTTCAGCACTTCGGCAAATTCAGGACTTTGGCAGTTCCCTAACTCAACCCAATAACCCTAACCTTCCTCTAACCCTTCACCTAAGCCTAGAAGGGGTAGGGTTAGGGGCAGGGTTAGATAGTTACATAGCTGAAAAGAGACCTGGGTCCATCAAGTTCAGCCTTCCTCACATTAGATTCCTGTCATCATTCCCTTAATTTTCCCTCCCTCTCCTGTTTTGCCACTTTTCAAAAATCCAAAGCACTTCGGCACTTCCGAAATTCGGCACTTCTGAAATTCGGTTCGGTTCGGCACTTCTGAAATTCAGCAATTCAGAAGTATCTGAATGTCCGAATTGCCGAAATTCGTCCAAATTTAAATTCAGACCGAAACTAATTGCACATGTCTACAATACTCACACTTGCAACTGCACTCCTTTGTTCGGCGACGTAAAGTACGAGATACTCACCTAGACAATATTGCTTGAGGCTTCATGGACAAGATAGAAAGGTACTTTATGGATGGAACATGGTCCCAACACGGATACATTGGATTTTAATTTCTGTACCCTCCCCCACTTACATTAAAATTCAATAAAAACTGTAAATGAAAAAAAAAACAAAAAAAAATTATATAGGCAGCAGGGATAAAAGAGGATGGCTGATTGACTGACACAAGCCTCCATCTGCTGCAAAATAATCAAAATATCTTTTAGCAGAAATGCTACAGAGACACTGACCTTGCAGAAAAACCACTTCTACAGACTAAAGTGGTTATGGTGCCAGGAATACCAGTTTAATTGTAAGATTTTCTGTTCTTTCGTCTTTTTTTTTGTTTGTTTCACATCAGAATATGGTATTAGTTATTTCATTTCTTAAGTACTCGTAAATAATAGGTCTAAATTCTTTATTGATGCCTGTCATATCCATATGTAATAGGGCCATACTTGGGGTCAGCTCAAATCTTATTTCGAATAAAACTGATAAATATTGGTTTAACATATCCCATAAAGGTCTAATTTTCGGACAATCCCATCAAATATATTTGAAGTCTGCAATTAATTCATTGCATCTCCAACAATTTGGTGGAGCTGTAGGATACATTATTGCTATTTGTAGGGGGTATTATACCATTTGTTTAGTATTTTATAATGGGTTTTGTGTATATTTAGACAATGACAGACTTTATATATCGTATTAAGGGAGTTATTTCATTCTTTCATAGTTATATCCTTTGCTAGGTCTTGATTCCATTTAATAATTGCAGTGGGAATTGATTGTTCTTTAGTTTTCTTATTATTCATTATCCATTTTTTGCAATGTAGTTTTCCCAAAAATATGAAATGCATTTTGATTTAATAATACACGTTATTGAAAGGTAGAGCCACTGTCACTGATGGATTACATATCATTTTATACTGTCGTAATCACTATAACCTGTCAGTTTTTTTTTAAATTTGCACTAAAAAATTGGCATTAGAAAAAAAAATGCAAATTATGAAACATGAATAACAAATGCCTATCGTGACTGTGTCTTCCCTAGTCCATTATTTTTTACTCTTGCGCCTGAATGAGAATATAACATTAATGAAGCTTTTGAAAGAATAGAAAGATCCCACAAGTTCCAGTGCATCTTCACTATTGTATAATTACCAAGCCCCATCAATGCACCATCCAGTCTGCCTTCTTATAAATGCTGTGCACAGAGATAAGGACTGTGTTAAACCTAGTTAGCCCTGAAGCAACAGCAAAGTGAAAAAGCACTCTTAAATTTTCAAGAAGCATTATCATAGATTTTGTGTTTCAGAGCATTAAAACATGTGACGTCAATGAAAGTACAGTTTTTGTGTAAAAAAAAAAAAAACATGAACACTAAATTTGGCTAGGGTTTGTGACCAAGTGGCTCCTAAAAAAATCTGGACGGGGGCGGGACCGGACCGCCGAGCTGGACGGTCGCAAGAAAGATCAGCTCCTGCAACCTTCTAAACATTAAGCCTTAAAACCTAAGATTTTCGACCTAAAAGCAGACCAACAGCAATGGTCCTCGGTGCAAAGGGGGCACTGAATCCATGGAGAGGCTGGCTCCTTGAGCTTTAGTCCCCTGAAAGAGGAATCTTCGATGTCCCAATAGGGGCCTTCTCCGGCGGTGAGTGGGGCGGACGGCCGCTGCCAAACTATTCTGCCTAACAATGCCCAGACAGAGGCCAACATCCGAGTTGAACAGGCCCTGTTCTCCCCCTCCCCCTCCGGACCAGTGGGGGTGATCCCGGTCCTCACCCTGTGGCCCCGAACGCTGCAATGCAAACAAGGCCAAGCAACAATACCACCCCAATCTGCGGCCCAGGCACCTCACCTATAATGGCAGATGCCACATGCGCTGAAGGTAGAGGGAAGGAACATGGTCCACCCGCGCTGATAACTAACAGCACGGCATCCAGACACAAACTGGCCCAATATCAACTGCAGCCAGCTATAAGCACTTACTCTAGCTCCCGGGCAGGCCTGGTGAAGAAGGAAGAGATGGAGATACAGCAGGCCAGCGCACGCATCACAGCAAGGACTAACGACACCCAGCAGACGAAAATCTACCCTCCAGACAGGTCGGGAAGCCGGTCTCACGTGCAGATGCCTCACACCTCTCCTGGACTGCCAGTCAACACCTCCCAGCCAGCTCTGACAGAGCAACGACGTATACCTGACAGCCGGCTTGCAGCGGGACCATGCTAAGCTCACAGAGGGCATCAGCTAAACAGAGACTCATGTGGACATTTTGCTTTTGTGCCCCACCGACCCACACCTACCTGGTATGAGTATCGCACGTACGAGAACCAAGCTTACATGCTAAGTCACCCTCCTTAACCATACTTAAGCTTGGCTACAAGGGCCTCTAGGATGAATATTTTGTCTCACACAGTTAAAGCAGCCACCCAGCTACCTACCAGTAGCATGTATTGCCCACACATATCGCCCTAAGCTGGAAAGATTAAACTACATTACCATAGTCTTAAAATAAACCTCCTAACTGCCTTTCATGTACATTAAGCTAAACTCACTCATCAATGTTTAGAGTCAACCTGTGCACAATACAACTATGCGCAAAAGTTCAGGCATTAAACCTTACTCTTCAGGCCCCTACACGCCTCCCCTCAGGCCCACAATAAAAACGTGCTCTGAGAGGGCTAACATGTTTTATTATTACCTTTTATTCATTTTATTAATGCCCAACATATTTCTCTCACATCACGTAGCTTCACATGTATTGTGCTTTAACAACAAGCTCCAGGGAGACTACACTTGCTTTGGATATTCAGACATGTACCTTTATTTAATCTTAGTGTCAGTATGCTTAGCCGATTTTTATATCAGTTTGTAAGCTTTTCCTGACAATGTTTTACCCAAAGTCAAGCTTGTTTATATAAAACTTTGTGCAGACTTAATCTATGCCATATACCTGTCAACCACGAATGGCCAGCATCTGCTATTGTGGCACTACCAGCATATATGTCTATTTCTTCATGCACTCAAAAATAAAGAATTTAAAAAAAAAAACCTGGACATACATAATTTTGAATACCCTGGGTTGTCTACGTTTGCAAATGGTGTGCCATGATGGGGGTAATTTTCATTCCTGGGCTGCCATACGGTCTCAAAGACAACATAGGCCCAGCAAACCAATCTTGCAAATTTCAGCTTGTAAAAACTGAAAAGGGTAAGCTCTTTATTTGACCCTATAACTTTCCCATATATCATGAAACCTCTACATTGGGGGCATTGCTGTACTCATGGGACATCACCACATACAAATATATGTGTTTTATTGCAGTAAAAGCTAACCGTATTAGGACATTCACAGTTAAAATGCCATGCAGAAGTTAAGAAATAACTTTTCATAATGTCTAACACTGGATTTTATTCATATTAAATTGTGTTCCATAAATAAATTTAATGAAATGAAAGTCCTACTTCTCCTAAACAAAATTATATATATAATACGTGTGCGTGCACTTAATATGAAAGAGGTAAATTATGGTTGAACAGACACATAGTTTAAAATTCTAGGTTCGGTTTTGGTTCAGAACTCGTACAATTGCCTCCGTCTTTAAGGGGTTAAAGAGGAATTACCACAAACAAAATAATGTGCATTCAAGTACTGCATGAAATAATTGAATGCTGCAACAAACTATTTAGTTTTGTTTATATCAATCAGGACCGGTGCAAGTGGTGTACTAAGCAGGGGGGTAGTCAGCCCCTGGTGCCACTCATTTGGGGGGCATCAATGGGGTGCGATCTCCCAATGACCGTCTGGAGAGCAGGGCACTGCACAGCCCTTCTGTCGGTCACAAAATGTATTGTGGACAAGCAGGAAGACCGTGGTAGAGGACCCTCTGTTCCCTGACCCGGTCTGACAAGAAGTTCTTAAAGACAGCCAGACCTGCTTCCTGTCAGATTGGATATAGGTTCCTCCAACCCGGACTGAGCAGGCAAATGGGAAGGGGCTAAAGAGTAGAGGGGAGGGGGGCTATAAAGTGGAGGGGGCTAAAGAGTGCACAGAGGGTGAGGGGGGTGGCTAAAGAGTGCACAGAAGGTTTCGGAGGCCTAAAGAGGGTACAGAAGGTGAGGGGGGGCTTAAAGAGTGCACAGGAGGGGAGGTGGGCTAAAGAGGGCACAGGAGGGGAGGGAAAGGAGATCACAGTAGGGGAGGGGGCTAAAGATATCATAAGAATCCACCTGGCCTGTGAGTCTGTGCACGGGGGCTGTGCAGGTAAAGTACTCCGAATCGCAGGACAGGCAAGGACACAAGCAGAAGAGAAGTCAAGGTATAGCCGAAGTCAGGGGATGCCAGAGGTCAGAGTAAACGATGAGAAAAGCCAAAATCAGGAACCGGGATTAATCTGGAGAACACACGATAAAGACACACAGTAGCAGGAACCAATAACGTGAACTAGGCATGTGCATGGTGAAAATTTTCAGTTAGGTTCAGCATTCCGAAATTCGGTACTTCGGCATTTCGACACTTCAGAATTTCGGAACTTCGGCATTTCGGGACTTTGGCACTTCTCTTGCAGCCGCTTAGTAGATAACTCCCTAATTCCCACGGTATTAGGGATTTATCTACCAAAAGGCTGAAAAACCTAAATTGGTCTTTCAGCCAAATTTACTAATACTAAGTAAAAATTAGTATTAGTAAATTTTGCCCCTATTCGCTATACCGCGAGTAGGGGTATGTCTATTTTTTTTTATTTTTTTATTCTTTATTTTTGCTGTGCCAGAAATAACAAAACATGTTTATGATGCCACGACTGCAATAACAAGCAAGGTAGTATCGTACAATATAAGACAGTTGCATGGCAAACAGAGTAAGTTAGCACCCATTTTTTTTTTTGGTTAGTAAAACAGTTAGGTCTAACGTGCCTAAGCAAATTACTGTATATAGATAGTCGGCAGATAGTGTATCTAAGACACATATTCTGAAGGTTAAAGATAGGGACATGAATTTTAAACAGGGAAATTTCCCAGGGAGGCCCCTGGCTAGTTGCATGTGGTAAAAAGTGTGCCAGGGGTGAGAGTAGGAAAAAGATGCTGGAGTGTAGTGTCACAGGAGTTCAAGGGTGTATGAGAGTTCTGTCACAGAAGGGCAACAGCACGTCTTTATGCAGCCCTGGCACCTGTATCAGCCTTTGCCGGATAGTGGTATCGCATTGTCCTGCGTCTTTAAGAGGAACGGTGGTCCTCTGAGTCTCTGTGTGCACCCACAGGTTGTTCCTTGTGACCAGATTGGGGTTATTCCCGGCACCGCAGTTCGTTGATGGGTCTCCGTGATGGGCCACGGCGCGACCCTCTTGATAGCTTTCCTGTGCCGGATCGGTGAGCTCTTCGCGGTTCACCACCATGTTGGGGGCCTGCGTGCTGCTGGAGCCCCAGGCTGCTGCGTGGTGTGTGTTTGCCATGGTGTATAGCAGCTACCCGGTTGTTTGAAGGGGGGGTGCTGCATCCTGCTCTCCGCTCTCTGCCAGAAATCTTCAAAGATTTTGTCCAGTCTGGACAGGACATCTTGCCTTTTCCCTGTGTTGCTGGGGATCCTCGTGGCAGCCGCCATCTTAGGTAAGTCGTCGGGTTGTGTGTGAGCTGGCATGGCTTCACCCCATGGTTCTGTGTGAACAGGGCAGCCTCCCAGGGGTGGACCGGGATCACCCCCACTGGTCCAGAGGAACCTAGGCCGCATGTTCCGAGACGTGCCACAGATGGGCTCACGTTGAATCTTTGGGCCCTAGAGTGTTAGAGAGACCTTTCTCCACAGCCCCAATGTCACAAGGTAATGGGACTTTATAAAGATGGAAAAGGATAAAAAAGATATCAAATGCCTTGAAAATGCCAGTCAGTACTGTTCAATCAATTGTTAAGAAGTGGAAAATTTGGGAATCTCTTGATACTAAGCCAAAGTCAGGTAAACCAAGAAATTGTTCAGCCCCCCCTTCCCACAACTGGCAGAAGAATTGTTTGAGATACAAATAAAAACCCACAGGTAACCTCAGGAGAAATACAGGCTGCTCTCGAAAAAGATGGTGTGGTTGTTTCAAGGAGCACAATACGATGATACTTGAACAAAAAATGAGCTGCATGGTCAAGTTGCCAGAAAGAAGCCTTTACTGCACCAATGCCACAAAAAGGCCTGGTTACAATATGCCTGACTCCGGTCCGTGAAGGCACTTAGACTAGAACGCCAGGGATTCCACTGGATTACAAGCGATATCCCCTCCCTGGGCAAAGGTAGGAAGGGAGGGGGGGGGATTATAAACATGCCTTGCCTCTCCCCCCACTTCTGGCACACCGTAGTTTGGAGTGACAAGCCCAAAATAGAGCTTTATGGATAGAGCTTTATGGTCACAAGAATAAGCACTATGTTTGAAGATGGGTCAACAAGGCGTACAGTGAAAAGAATACCATCCCCACTGTGAAGCATGGTGGTGGCTCACAGATATTTTGGGGGAAGGGGGTGAGCTCTAGAGGCACGGTGAATCTTGTGAAAATTGATGGATGCAGCATGCGATCAGAAAATACTGGCAGACAATTTGCATTTTTCTGCACTCAAGCTGCAAATGGGATGCTCTTGTACTTTCCAGCATGACAATGACCCCTGGCAACCGCGGCAACGCTCCGTTCTGGCGGAGCTGCAGGCTAGAGCTCTTCCCGGGTCTCCTGTCTCCGTGCCGGCCGCCCAGTAATATGCCTGCGGACCGGGGAGGTAGATCTCTGATCTCCCCTCCGGTCCGTGAAGGCACTTAGACTAGAACGCCAGGGATTCCACTGGACCACCAGGGATTACAAGCGATATCCCCCCCTCCCTGGGCAAAGGTAGGAAGGGAGGGGGGGGGATTATAAATAATATTTTATTAATAAATTATTTTTTTTTAAATCATTTGTTTTACACTGCCCCCACAGCCCCCTATACACACTACCCCCACATCCACAGCCCACCATCCACACTGCCCCACCAAACACACTGCCCCCACAGCCCACAATACACTCTGCCCCACCAAATACACTTCCCCCACAGCCCACCATACACACTGCCCCACCAAACACACTGCCCCCACAGCCCACCATACACACTGCCCCACCAAACAGACTGCCCCACAGCCCACCATACACACTGCCCCACCAAACAGACTGCCCCCACAGCCCCCCATACACACTGCCAGCTGCCCCACAAACACACTGCTCCCCACAGACCCCCATACACACTGCCCCACCAAACATTACCTCCTGCCCCCCACAGCCCCCCATACACACTCCCACCAAACAGACTGCCCCCACAGCCCCTACACACACTGCCCCACCAACACACTGTCCCCTACAGCCTCCACCATACACACTGCTCCCACCAAACAGTCTGCCCCCAACAGCCCCCATACACACTCCCCACCAAACAGACTGCCACCCTACAGCCCCCATACACACTGCCCCACCAAACACACTGCCCCCCATTGTGCCCCCATATACACTCCTCCGCCCCTACAGCCCCCTCATATACACTCCCTTACCAAACAGGCTGCCCCTACAGCCTCCATATACACACTGCCCCATCAAACACACCTCCTGCCCCCCACAGCCCCCCCAAGGGCTACTACCCCTACTCAAACACACTGCCCCGACAGCACCCCATACATACTGCCCCACCAAACACATTGCCCCCACAGTGTGTGTGGAGGAGAAGAGTGTGTGTATGGGGACACACACTCTTCTCCTCCACACACACTTCTCCCCATATAAACACTGCACCCCCCACACACACACTTCTCCTCCACACACACTGCAACCCCACACACACTTCTCCCCATACAAGCACTGCACCCCACACACACACTGCATCCCCCCACACACACTTCTCCCCCACACAAACATTACACCCTCACACACTTCTCCCCCCATACACACTACATCCCCATACAAACATTGCACCCCCACACACGTCTCCCCCCACACACACTGCACCCACATACACACATTGCTCCCACACACAAACACTTCCCCAACTGCACTCCCATGCACACACTGCCCCCACTAGACCTTCATACACACACTGGCCCCATACACACAGTGCTTCCACTGCACCCCACATATACACACTGCACTCCCATGCACACACTATACCCCTCACACAAACACACACTGCCCCTCCTACACACAGTGCTCCCACTGCACCCCTATACACACACTGGCCCACATGCACTGCCTCCCGTACACACACACACACACACACACACACTGCACCCCTCACACACTGTCTCCCATACCCACCCTGCATCCTTCATACACTCATATACATACACACACACACACACACACTGCCTACTCTCACACACACACACACACACACACTACCATCTATCCCCTACTACAGCCCCTATCCTGGCAGACCCCACGTAAATTTTCAAACTGTTATTAAACCGTTTGACTATTTACTCTGGGAGGGAACCACGGCACTCCTGGCACCATAACCACTACAGAGAGCTGTAGCGGTTATTGTGCCTGGATTGTTTCTTTAAATAATCTGAGTGCCCCTCCCGAGATAAGACTCTGGATCCGCCAGTGCACCACATCTCTTATACACACACACATACATTCTCTCTAAAGTCCATAAACAGACATACTACCAGGGTTCAGGATTCTGGTATTCATTGTGTGAATGTTACAGAGGGATTAGAGGGAGTAAGACAGAAGTGGATAAAATAGCTCTAAAATCTGGAAACGCAAGCAAATTGAGAGGAGCAGTTGCCAGTGAAGATCTGTTAGCAAACATCCCTGTCAGCTAAGGATTCCGGCCCCGACACATACACCATCCAGTGAGACCGAAGCGCAACCCTCGATGTGAGGTCAGAGGTGGAGCGCACAGTGACACGCACGCCGTCCTCACCGGCTGCCAGGATACGGAGGAAAGATTGACTCACACAATCCTCATCCACCAGGGTCTGGACTGCAGGTTTATTTGCTCATTTCACTCAATATATACTGGACTAACTGCTAACCTCTGATTTTAAATGGACACTATAGTCCCCTTAACAACTTCAGCTTAATGAGGTTGTTCAGATGAGAACTATAGCTCCCTGCAGCCTTTCTCATGTAAACACTGTATTTTCTGAGAAAATAGAGTGTTTACATTGAAAGCTAGGAACACCTCCAGTTGCAGTCACTCAGAGTGAACCAGAGGGACTTCGGAGTTGATGGAGGCATAATATGCCTCCATCCACTCAGATCTGCTGTCAGCAGAGCACAGGGCAGCACTGTGCACAGCATCCTTTGATTCAATATCTCCTCCCTTTGCATGCAGACACTGAACTTTCCTCATAGAGATTCCTTGATTCAATTAACCTCTATGATGAGATGCTGATTGGCCAGGGCTGTGTTTGAATCATGCTGGCTCAGCCCCTGACCTGCTTCTTTGTCAGTCTCAGCCAATCCTAAGGGGAAGCACTGTGATTGGATCAGGCTACCACATGTCAGCAGACTGCTTGTTTTTCTGAGTCTAACAGCTTGCAGATTTACAGTTTTAGGCTTGAATACAGTAAGATTTTTACTATATTTATGGAGGCATGAGGGGCCCAGGGGGACTAGATGGTGGTGTTAACACTATAGGGTCAGGAATACATGTTTGTGTTCCTGACCCTACAGTGATCCTTTAATCGCTATTTCTTACTTGGAACATATTTTTTTAAATTAATATATTGATCTATTTTTAGTAATCAAGTGACTATTTTTATCCTACACTGTGGCACTACAAGTCTATTTTTGAGCAACTAGTTCTTCATACTTATTTGCTCTGGCATAGATCTGAATCATCTTTTATTTATAAAAGTATATCATAAGACATGAGCACCATCAGCCCTGTGTTGTTTTCACAAGCAGAGTTAGGGCTACTTATGCTATAGGTACTCCATATAAGACTTGCACTTTATTTTGGACTCATATTTCATTCTGGACTGTTATTCTATTTAGACTGGCTATTGTATATTATGGATATTCCATCAAGGGTTACATATTAATTTGGATGATTGCATGCACTAACTATTTATTATCTAAATTCCATTCTTGATATTTTATTTTAGCTCCTGGATACCCACACTATAGTTTATGGTGTATTTTTTTATACTATTAGGGCTGCCTTTAACGCGGGGCAAACAGGGCATCTGCTACGGGCCCAGTTACTTCTGGGGGGCCCAAGGCATCTGCCCCGTGGGCCTCCTTGCCCTCAACAATTTCTTTTTTTCCCGCCAGGGCCCTTCATTCTAAGGAGTCCCACCGGTTGGCCATGCACTTTGGGCCATCCAGTGGGCTTGTATAAGCAGGGGCCCAGTTGGGGGCGCTGTAGCCCTTTAACAGCTTGACTGGGCCCCTTGCTTTTCAGCAGCCTGGAAGGAAGTGACAGACACAAGTGACTTCCTCCCATAAAAGAGAGCAACCAGGAGGGCAGGAAGAGCCACACGAGAGGGAGGAGAAGGCAATGAGGATGGGGGCTCCTTACTCCCATTAGTCTCAGGCACCACACTCGACCCCAGGAAAGCCATCCTCCAGCAAAAGGTAGGTAACTGGAGGGTGGGTCTAAAAATGTAAATGTTACATGTGTGTAAGTATGTCTGTCTGTGTGCGTGCATCATTATGTCTGTGCGTGTGTGTATCTGTGTCAGTGTGTCTGTGTGTTAGTATGTCTGTCAGTGTATGTATCTGTGTGTGTCAGTATTTCTGACAGTGTATGTATCTGTGTTTCAGTGTGTCTGCCAGTGCCAGCATGTCTGTAAGTGTCAGTATGTCTCTGTGTGTGTGTGTGTGTCAATTTGTCTGTCAGTGTATGTATCTGCCTATGTGCATGTCAGTATGTCTTTTAGTATGCCTCAATGTAAGTGTCTGTGTTTGTTAACATGTCTGTTAGTATATGTGCCTGTGTGTGTCAGTATGTCTATCAGCGTATGTGTTTGTGTGTCAGTATGTCTGTCAATGTATGTGTCTATGTATCTGTATGGGTCTGTGTGTCTGCATGCGTGTCAGTGTGTGTACCTTTGTGTCTGGGCATCTGCATGTGTGTCAGGTTGTGTATCTGTTTGTCTGTATGTATATTGGTGTGTCTCTATCTGCATGTGTGTCAGTGTGTGTTTATCTGTGTATCTGCATGTGTTTCAGTGTGTGTATGTGTATCACAGTGCATGTGTGGCAGTGAATGTGTATATGTGCATACATCTCAGAATTCAAACACCAACATTAAATACAAGTACACCCCGCCATTCAAACTTCAACATTACATACAAACACACTCCTGCATTGAAATGTCAACACTATATGCAATCACACCTCTGTGTTGAATGCACGCTTGCATTCAAACTTTAACACCACATACAAACACATCCATACATTCACACAAACATACTCCATAACAAAAACATGTTTACATTCAAACACGGCTCAGTGCTAACTACAACCCTGCAAGCATGGGAAATTGGTAGAGCCCCAGCTGTCAAAGCATTGTTGGAGTTGCTTGACAGATAAGGATCTACCTTTTGTCCAACCTTGCAATTGAGGGGCTCCATAAAATTCTGGCACTAGGGTTCTTTCTACTTTAGTTCCACCACTGCGCTAGAAGGGGTGATTGCATGCCAGGGAGAGGGGGCGGGGGCAGAGTCCAGGGGGCACAAGCTAATACTTGCCCATGGTCCAATCAGTATTAAAGATGGCCCTGCATACTACACCACTGTGACGAAGTGCCCTTCGCCACTTGTGCCTGGAGGGGACTACTGGCTAGCCTCCTGCCTTCCGACTATGGCACCTGTGCTCATAGCTGTATTTTTCCCTGCAGAAAGGTTTATTTGTGTATTTCTGCCGGGTCGTTCTGGACTTTCAGTATGTGAGTAGTGCTACCCCAGATAGCAAAATAAACACGAATCACCAGAGTGTTTCCAAGAATACCATGAAGCCTATTTGTGTAACAAAAGACTATGGAAAAGACTTTGGCTCCATGGCGATTGAACTGTATGTGATCTGAGCGCCATTCGGTTAATGGAGTCTTGCCTCTGTCCTGGGAGATAATTTGATTACTTCCCAATTATCTCCAGGATAGCGAGGAGGGATTGTGATGTCACTGTGGGAGTGTTTTGTTTGTATTGTCTGTGATTGGCTAATATCCAATATGTGTCCCATTGTTCCATCAGGTCCCCTAGGGGAGTGTCCACCTGGTGGACTCTTGCATAAATACCGGGCAGGTAGCCCTCAATAAACCAGACCTACTTGCACCTTTCTTGAAGCCTTGACTCATGCTTGGTGGAAGGGATACCTACACTCTGGGGATTGCTATAATCACTTACTCCCCAGAGTAAGCTCTTGTAAGAGCTTGATTTGTTCCTGCTACGCTCTCTGGATTTCGGAGAGGTTCACCCACTGGGAGCTGGATCCTGGTCGTGGATCCAGGGTGGGTGACAGACGGCGAGACCCCGGCGCAGCTGAATCACTGGAAGTGGGGTCCGCAGTGCTGATGGTGTCGGCTGAAGTGCTCAGAGTCCTCGGCAAGCGCTAGGAGCATCAATTGGTGGATGTACTCGGTCGGAGTGCCAGCGGTCCGTCACAAACACAAAATAAACAGATCTATTCAAACACACACTACACCACAAACAGCCCCCTCAACCAGTGGTGTATCTAGAGACCACAGGGCACCAGTGCAAAAAGTGCCCTGGGGCTCCCCCATGCATCTCCTCCCCTCCCTCTCCCCTCCATTTTTATAACACATACAGATACATACATGGACACACATGCTAATACACAGACACACATTCAGATACACAGAATGACACTTCTACAGATACAAACACTGACACACATACAGATACACACACACACTGACACATGCAGATACACAGACACACATATAGACAGACACATATAGACACACATGCAGATGTACAGATACAGAATGACACTCATACAAATATAAACAGTGACACACATACAGATACATAGAGGCACACACTGACACACATGCAGACAAAGATGCACATACTGACACACACGCAGAAAAACAAATACACATGCAGACACAGATACATATACAGACACACACGCAGACAAAGAGATGCACATACAGACACACACACACACAGACACACAAACAGAAACACATTCAAAGAAACACAGACACACACACAAAGACACACACAGACACACATACATACAGACACACACAAACTGTTAAAAATATTTAGTGACTTCCTTGGGGTCCAGTGGCCCCCTCATGCTGATGGGAGTCAGAGCTCCCACTCTGACTCCCTCCTCTCCTCCCGCGCGGCGCTCTGTTATCTGGGAGGAAGTGACGACTCCCTCCCAGCTCTGACATCACCACTGGGGCCGAGTCGCGCTCTTAAAGCGCCACAGCACTGACCGGGCCCCAGGAAATCCACGTGCCACCTTCAATGTGGCCCTGGCGGTTGTTCCGCGTGGCCGGGACGGCACCACTATGCCTGCGGGCACCCTGGTCATAGGGCGGTAGGACCCCCTCAAGTGACGGGCCCAGTCTCAGCTGCGACCCCTGCAACCGTGGTTCCGCCACTGCCCTCAACACATACACAATACCACAAGAAGACACAGTCACAATACTCTTTCTTTCTCCTGTTCTACTTTTGTCTTCTGATATCCCAGTTATTGAGACACCAAAGAAATATCACAATGAATTGTGAAATGTATTACTGTGGAAACAGTTGATACTGACATATAAAATGAATACCTATTCTCCTGTGTTTTATAGCTGTGGAGCTGTGAAGCTCTGTTGTATACTGCTATGCACATTATTGTGAGGTTGTTTTTGCTATGGAGCTCTGTGATAACGTATACATACCACATATTACTGAGAAGGTCAAGGTTTTTTAGAGAAAAAACCCAGAGCTCAAAAGCAATACAGCTCACATTCATGTGTGGCATGAATGGGTGTCCAGAAACTCCAAAGCATTAACATTTATGTTTGTTTGTGGTGCTGATATGTAAATTTATCATGTTCATCCTATACTGGAATGGGAGAGAAGCCAAAAATCCTTTGACTGGTCCTGATAATAGCATATTTTGCACATGCACGCATTTGCCTAAAGTAAAATAGAAAAGATGTCCATTGACACTAAAGTAGAATTTCAGATAACACTGAAAGAGTGTTGCTAGGTATGTCAATAGTTTCAAACATTTTGTATTGAATTTAGTTTGTTTTTTTAAAAATACCCATGAAATCCTCATGTTTTACTTAACTTTTTAAGATTTATTGCTATTCATGTTAGCTTGCTATGTATGCAATGCAATTAAAAGGTTACTGCAAGCATCATGACCTCTGCAATGATTTGAAGTGGTCATGTTGCCAGGAGTCTGTATGTGCAGTGTTTTGCTTTGTTTTCGGGCTGGCTAATACCAATTCTGTGCATATTCCTATACAAACGAATTGCATTCATTGGTTGAGAGTGATCAGCTGACACTCTTAGCCAATGAGTGGCGATGGGAATGGATGTATGTCACCAGAGCAGGAAGTACCCTCTGCACCCTGCAGAAACCCAGGTTAGAGAGCAAATTGTTGCAAAGCAGTTAGTCCCATTACTGGGAAACAGAGCCAGAGTACTTCTGGCATTATAAGCACCATAGCCAGCTTTAAGAGCTTAACCATGCTCAAGAGCCAACATTTTCCATTTCAGTGTAGAATTAAAGTTCATACAGATATATCTAACTGCTAACCATCATATAAACAACAAACTATTAGTGTGAAGTAAATACTTTAGAATTGCTTAGTGTGTATAAGTTATCTTTCTATTCAGTTTGCTTTTACAGAACCCTGCAATGTCGATCAGTACTGGCTCCGGATTATTCACAAAATTAATTTTGCTTATTTTTGTGGTCTTTGGTAAGTGCCTGCTCTCCAAGGATGAAATGGACTAATGTATCCTATTTCTATATTCTGTATTATACAATTTACTAAAGGTTTAGGACTTTCATATGTATCTGGATAAATATAACTAGATGTTAGCTACTGCATGTATGTCCTTACCCAGCATTCTGGCATTTTGCTTACGGACTGCCATTGTCTGCTCACTGCAGAATCTTCCCAGCAGCTGTGTAGACCCACCAGGACCTGGTGCAGCTAAAAATTGTCCACTTCCCTCAAGTGCTCTCCTCATTTTCCAGCATGTTATACCCACAATAAACAGTGCACCAAGATAGGTTAAAAAGGAAGCCCAGACACTGATTGTAAAGAGATCCCTCCAAGGGCTAAGTGGAGTGCACACCCACAATTCTTGAGGCTGACCTTCTATGACTTCTACATGGATGACTTCCAAGCCCATGGTGAAGAGCATTGGGAGCCCGGCCAGAAGAGAAGCCAGCCAGAGCAAGCAAAGTCGAAGACGGACCCCTGAAGATTTCTGTAAGTGGAGGCTCATTGGCTGGCAGGTGGCACGGTGTCTGTCACAACTCAGAGATAACACATTTAGGATGGCAGCATAACAAAGTACCTCCCACAAGTAATAGAAGCCACGACAGCCAGTTGTGCCCAGGGGCCATGGGAATGGGTTCCAGATACTACAATACAGCTCTGCTGGAATACCAAGTGCTAGTTGAAGAATATCACAAGATGCCAAGCTACACATGTGGTGGCTAAGAGAGGCCTGCACACTGCGTCCACCTCGGATACCACGCAAAACACGAATCACCAGAGTGTTTCCAAGAATACCAGCTATAAGCAGAAGTGTATAAACCAGAGATATCACTGTCTTTGCATATGTGCTGAGCTTGATTGGTGCTTTGGGGGCTTCAGTCACCGGGGGCATTGGTCCAGTAAGGGGGTTACTGGAAAAAGAGACACTTTAAGGTTTCAAGTTTGTGGTCACTTTGTATGCGTCCTGGTCCTTCTGTGAGGTATGTGGTCAGCTTCTATGCTCTGTTCACTCCGTTTGATTTATGGTATGTTTGCAAGCTCTCTGGTTATTCTGTGAGGTATCTGGTCACTTAGCATGCTCTTGGGTCATATTATAAAGTCACTAGTCTGTTTTCAGATCATTGCAAATTGTATTTGGTCAGTTCAAAACAGGTTTAGGAAGTCTGATTGCTCTGTCCTGTCAGTGGGTGTTCTGACTCTCTGACCACGCTGATGAGGAGGTATATTCTGTGACTGTTTATGAAGTCTATTTCCCAAATTCTGAATTGAAGAGAATTTAAAGAAAGGGAAAAAAAAAAAAACAAGAGAGCTGTTTTAGAAAAAATCTCCAACTCCAAGAAAATACTGTATGAGTGTTAAAAAGTAGTTTTGCCAAATCTTGATATTTCCAGTCAATGTATTGTTTTCCTAATACATTTTTACAGTCTACCTACCATTGATCTGTAACTGTCTTCTTAATTTTTACTTGTAGTTAATCCTTTGGGAGACATGCGATAAGCCTGTAGCTGAAGTTTTATCTGTCCAGTGGCATCATTATTTACATTTCCTGTAAGATACATCAGCCTGTTTCTCAAGCTACTCCCTCCCAAGAGTCAGTGGTTGCTGTGCTCTGTAGATGCTGCCGTTCTTTGCTGAGGTTTCTTTTGGGGCTCTCTTCTTGTTGCTTTTTATATTCCTTCTCTCTGTGGTTATATTTTCTCCAACAGTTCTCTGCGTTCCCTTAGTTGGGGTGGAGAGCAGCAGGATGTAAGTGTCAAAATAAGTAGATGATCTTTGGGTCAAAGCACTCTCTAAAATAATCAGCAAAATCCTTCTTCCTCTTTGATTTTTTGGTGTGTGTGTATATATGTGTATGTATATATATATATATATATATATATATATATATATATATATATATATATAATTAGAAATAAAAGCACTTCTCTTTTTTATTATTATTATTATCATCAATTATACAGCGCCAACATAGTCCACAGTGGTTTACATTGATAGAATGGTGATACACGATAACAAGTAATTCACATACAGAATATGAACAAAGACAAACAGTGAAAAATACCAGCCAGAAGCAGCAGGGGATAAACCAGAAATATCCCTGTCTTTGCACATGTGCAGAGCTTGATTGGTGCTTTGGGGGCTACGGCCAATGGGGGCATTAAGGGGCATAAAGTAAGGGGGTTACTGGAATAAGACTTTGAGCTTTCAACTATCTTAGTCTTTCAGGTAACTGGTCACTTTGTATGCTTCCTGGTCCTTCTTTAAGGTATGTGGTCAGCATCTATGCTCGGTTCAATCTGTTAGATTTATGGTACGCGTGCATGCTCTCTGGTCAATCTGTGAGGTATCTAAGCACTTAGGATGCTCTATGTTCATTAGACAAAATATATATATAACTCTGCCTGGTTTGGTTATTTTTGGTTTTAAAAAAATAAAAATTCTGTCAATGATTATTTATCTATCCTAATTATACAGTCTTCTTTTGACATTCCCTTTCATGAAATATCTATGTATAGAACACTCCACTACAGTATTTTATGAACTGGTTTGTAATTGTGTACTGTTGAACCTTGTTCCTAATGTCTTCCTGCTACTATGTACAGATAAAGATAATTGTTGATGAAGCTAATTGCATTCATAAATTCACCTTTCCCCCATCTGCTGCTACCCAAATTATAGCCTGCTGTCAGACTATTATGGCCACATTGCAAGGTATGAAATCACTTATATTTGAAACCTTTTTAAGGCCCTATCCAGGTCTGCCCTGCAATGTAGTGTCTCTGGGCTCAGTTTCCCGACATCTACAATCAACAGCTGGCATGGCCTATAGATGGACAGTTCCGAGGACTCTGTCCATCTTAAATGAAGTAACAGTCTTTAAAATGACAGCTCTGTCAGAGGACCCAACCTTCTTCACCGCATTAGGCATTTCAACACCATAGCCAGTACCCATTGGCCCAAGTCAAGTACACTCATGGCTTGGGATCCAACTAGGGTGGTTCCCTTTGTTCCACATAGGGAAGACAATTCTAAGTCAGGGACTTGACCTACTTCTGTATTGAATGTAGTTGTTTTTTTACATTGAGCAAAAACCTTAATCTCTCTCACATTATCTACCTAGTTTTGCTGTTGATAGATGCTCATAATATTGTTCATGACACTGTTGACTAAAGTCTTGCTGTGTAATGTGTATACCTCAAGTTGAGGTAATGTCTCACCTTCGTTGGTCCCTTGGTTAAAGGTATCTCTCTGTCAGTGGAGCCAATTACAAAGTTGGAGGAACACAGTTGCCTATACTATTATTAATACTTGGTTTCCTTTTCAATGCAAGGTGCTCTTAAATACTCTATAGTTCTCTTTATTTCTGATTCTGGCTCCTTGCTTTCGGGCATTGGTAGAGTTCATCCTCTTCTACTCATTTCCTACTCAAAATAAAGCATGGAATATTACATAATCAAATATCTCACATGCTTGTTTTCCATTTACGATATTTTCAGCCTGACTGTGATGGCAGCCAGACGCCTTTTCAGAGAGCTCTGGGCAAATCATCGATTCTAAGCTACCTACCCGTGTTCCCGGTGCTCTTGCTGTGTCAGGCTGCGAAGCATGAATGCCTGGTGTTAAGGGACCGGCTTTGTATGGTTAGTAGCAGCCATCCAGTCTAAGCCCTCAACGGGCTGGAGTGAGGCCTAAGAAGCACTGTGGAGGGGAGAGGTGGCCGCTCTCCCAGCCAAGCTCAGACGGACCTTCGTCCAAATCTTGATGGAGCCCTGCTACCCCCCCCCCACCTTTGGAACCATGGGGGTGATCCCGGTCCCCACCCTGGAGGCTCACTCACATTACCAGGGCTGTGCAATCCTGCCTCAAACAGCGAGGATACACCACATGGCATATCCAACATGGCAGATGCCACATGCCCCAAGCCTGACTATGGAGGTGTGATGTCCAGAATGCTGTCCTTCCTGGACAAACTCCTTGCCGACTTCTGGGGGGCGCTGTCCCTCCTACAATCTGTACCTGCCTGCAGGATCACCCATCTAAACCTGCTCCCTGACAGTCTCAAACTTGGAGTGGCACAAAGAGTGCGAAAATGGCGGAGAAGACTGGGTCGGCGGAGCACGAGAGGTGGGAAGTGCAGGCCTGCATCAGAGAGGGGTGCATATAGAGCCAGCAGCTGGAGTGTCAAGAAGGGTACCACAGGGAGAGGAGAGCAGGTGATACCAAAGGAGCTACCACATCATATGAATGCTGCATCGATCTTGCCTGGGTCAGTACACCTACCAACTCACCCTTTTACCTGGTACTGCACCCTGCCCATGACGGGCATAGGCTGAATGCCCAGAGGGTCGTCTTCCTCGCCCTCCCGCCACACACAGCCAGGAGACATCCTCCCTTCTTGACCTAATTGCACGCTATGGCAGACATTCCTGTTGAAAGTGTTACCTTTCTGCTGCCCCTGAATTATTTGTCCCCAATACTTTAATACTAGCACCTGCCACTACAGCCACCTAGGGTGGCATACTTCGCTTGTATATTAAGCTTGCATAATCCACTTTATTCACTTATTACTAGTTACCTTAGTCTGATATACTTATAATAAGTGATTCTAGCTTATGTCTACGCTACCTTGTTTTGACTAACTCTTGTTTGGATGCCATGTAGACTTCTATGATAAGTGTGTTTATTTCTTGTCACATGCATTAACAAAACAAGAAAAAGCGCAACAAATCCTCTTTACCACTATGTCACTGCATCACCTCATATAACCCATTAAATGTATTGGCTTCACAATGTATCTGACAATGCGCTTCAAAAATAAAGAATTAAAAAAAATAATATTTTTTGCCACTTTACGTGAGGTTGTCGAACAGAATAGTACAGTTCACAATCACACAAGAGACAATTTTCACATGAGACATTTTGATATCACTTTGAGTGCTCAATCCATGCAACCTAAACTTAAATGTAAACAAAATAGACATACCTATAGCTTTGTAGGGTGCAAAGCGTTTGGCATCAATTATTGAGATTGGGTCTATACCGTAGGTGCGTACAATCTTACATTTCTGTTCGTTGGTCTAACCTCGCCTAATGAAATTGCAAGTGGCCGAAGGCCTAGTGGGAGGATGCCCTGCCCCACCGGCACCCCCTATCTATGTTGGTGCTATGAGAACGTGTGTTTTTGTGATAGATTTTGGACCCGCCTTATGAGGGTGGGTTATTTAGTTTTTTCCTGGCATAGGTGTTTCAGTGTGACATACTAGTAGAGTTAACGGTGTGTATTACGAGTCCCAAGCAAGAATGCGAGGAGAAGTATAGATCAGTGATAGAAGAGTAAGGTGAAGTAAGACAGAGAAGATTCAGTCTATTCTTTATTACCTGTTCATAACTAGAAATAATTCCATGAATGATGTCTGTGTGGTACAGGATTCTAAAACATTTAAATGGTTAATATAAACCTTGTGCAATGTTTGCCTTTATAGGCTCGCAATGCCCTATTTGGTTCCCCACCATCAAAAAAAAATAATTCCGTCAGACGTGACAAAAGGTCTTGTGTGAACCAATCAGAAGTTTTTCATAGAGAAACAAAAAGCAGCTACAATAGGAGGGAGTGCCGACAGGGTCGGAGGGGAGAGCTAGCTTCCTCTTGCAGATTCTCTGCCTGCAAAGGGGAAATTACTACGTCTGTCACCAGCGTGCTGATGTCAGACATAAAATATGCACAGATCTAAGATTAGGCAGCTCGGAACAGTTTTGTATGCGGGGGGGTATGAATGTGCAGTGTTTCAAGTGGAAACGCTGCACATCCTGGCTTCTACTACCATGACCACTTCAGATCACTAAAGTGTTTATGGTAGTTGCAGTAACCCTTTAAATAACAGGCAGATTATATTATGTATATTTCTTGGCCTTGGCAGCATTTACTCATAGGGTGAAGCTCCTTCCTTTACATTCCCAGGGAAGGAAACATATTAAAATGTACTATAACTACCTCCTCTAAACCAAGCTGGCATCAATTATTTTGCCTGTCATTTACTTCCTAGGGCACTAGTAGTTTTAAACTGTTTGAAGGGATACTATAGGCATCAAAACAACTTTAGCTTAATGAAGTAGTTTTGGTGTATAGATCATGCCTCTGAAGTTTCACTGCTTAATTCACTACCGTTTAGAAGTTAAATCACTTTTGTTTCTGTCCATGCAGCCCTAGCCTCACCTCCCCTAGCTCTGACAAAGCCTGCATGAAAAACGTGGTTTCATTTTCAATCAGCTAACCTGAACAAAACAGTACAAGGGTTTTGTTGGAAAGATCAGTATGCGCTATTGTCACCTAATGTAGGTCACTCCACGAAAAACAGTTGGTGAGAGCAGATAGGATTACATACGGTTGTATGGATAAATATTGGATATGAACAGGTTGATGGAGTAAGAAACTTAAAATTTTTAAAATAAATTAACACAAGTAAAATTAAAACACAAACCAAATCTCAATAATAAAAAAATAGTCCACCTGCCCGCACGACGCGTTTCAACCTAAAGTCTTTTTCAAGTGCTCTAATGATCCATTCTAGCACAGACTTTCTTTTTATTTCAAATTTAGCAAGCTTTCTCCGCTTCATTTCGCTTAGGCTCCCTCTCCGTATATTCTG